GACAGGGGGCTGGTAGCGGCAGTGTGATTGTGGCAAAGCTGGGCAGCAGAGTGACCCCACCCTTGCTGCACCCTGGCATCTGGATGTTAGCAAAATCCTGCGGTGCAGGGCTGGGAGGCAGCAGGAACCAAGTTTGCTCTTCAGCCACGAGCAGCGAGGATGACCGAGGCGATACAGATGCCTGCATTGCACTTTATACTAAAGATTCCTGGGACGGGGTTTGAAGAGAAGGCCAAAAGCCCTGGGCCATCCGCAGTGCTGCTCCACAGGCAGAGAGCGCATGGTGGGGAGTCCCAGGTGAGACCATTCAGGGCAATTAAGGCCAATCAGCACCCTCAGAGCCCTGACAATCCCCCTCCCACCACAGGGTATCCTTCCACCCTGCAGAGACGTGAGTCCAGCAGGGAACTGCTACCAAGGGGTTTGGTTGCTGTGGGGTGCTAGGGGGCCCAGAAACGGTAAAAAGATGGGAGAGGAATAGGAGCAGCAGGTGACAGGGCTGGAGACCAGGCACACCTTCACCATAGATCAGGGCAGGACTGGGTACCCAGAGCTGAGCCTAAATGGGGCCCCTGGGCCCATGGGCAGGGGGGTATATGGATGAGGGCCTCAGGTGAGGCTACTCAAGATAATTAAGGCTTATTAGTGCTCCCAGGGCCCCGACACGTTCCTGGCTGATGAAAGCAGTGCACGGCAGGCTCCTGTTCTGATCTGCCCTGTCACACTCATGCCAGGGACACGTGCCCTCAAGTGGTCTTGCTCCTAGGTCCTGCTGGTGTCCCCAAGGCACGTGAGCAAGAGGCTTCAGCCATTCTTCTGGCAATTTAGTGACCCAGAGATGGGCGTGCATCTGCTGACCCAACGCAGCCCAAAGGAGGGACGTAGCTGGTGTGGGGAGTAACGCACCTGCTGCAGATACACAGTGCAGAGGTGGCTGGGTCTCGTCTTGCCCCCGACCAGCACCTGGCCAGGAAGGGGTTAAGCACCTGCATGGGAGGGGTCTGCCAGTCCCCCTGGAGCCGGCTCCTTCTGCAGCAACAAAAACGGTCCCAGCAGCTATCTGCAAGCCTGGGGGCAGGAGGGGCTTTCCCCAGCTGGCTCTGCTCCGCTCTAGCCACGCTCCCCTGCGTCACGCTTGTGGGCTTCCCAACTGGAAGGGAAAGCATCCAGATTTGAAACCATCCATCTGGGGTAGCAGTAAGGCCAGAAGGAAAATGCAGTGTTGCAGCGAACATCGGTGCTTGCAGAGCTCAGTTAAAAATTGCATTACCTCCCGCTCCGAGCCAGGAAAGCCATGCCGGTGGTATATCTGGAACGGCTCACCGGTAAAGCCAGTGCCTCTCGCTGCTATGTTTGTGATGAAGGGCTGACAGCTGTCAGCTGTGAGTGTCTTGCCCAGCGCTAGCAGGCTGCTTACGCTGTCCCTCCTCTGTGTGTGGCTGCGCTTTGCCTGGAGGTGTTTCAGGGAGAAAATCTCCTTTCCCTGCTCCTTCCGTGTCAGCCCAGACTTGCCGGAGCCGTGAGCAAGTGGGAGCTCCGCTGTCCTCCGTGTCCATCTCCTCTGCTGATTTCTCCGCTGTGTCCACAGACTGCGTTTGCTCAGGCTCCGGGAGAGCAGCGCAGAGCTCTAAAGTGAATTTGTGGCTTGGGGATTTCGGAGGCGATGCAGCCTGAGGAGCAGCCCTTTCCATGCTCCTGGAGCAGCCCACCTGGTGCCCTCGTGATCTTTTTGCAGACACTGGGGTCCCTATGTCTCCTGAGGCATCAGGTTTGGCCCGGGCCAGCCCCAGGGGCGAGAGCACAGGGTTTCCTGCTAGGTCTGCAGAGTTGGTACCTGCATGAGGCTCTGTCTTGTATGGTGCAGGTGGGATGCTGGGCTTGCTTGTCCCTAGCTGCGTTCTTTACTTTTCTGCATCCCTTTAATCTCATCCTGGACCGTTTCCTTTCGCAGGCTGCTGCTGCGGCAGGTAGGGAACATTCAAATGAAAGCACACAACGGTCCACCAAGGCCTTTCTTGAAACAATAAGGAGAAAATGCAAATTTCTTGGTAAAGCCCGTTCGCACCCCACTCCATCTGAGATGCTCCCCAAGCAGATATGTAGCGACATGGCAGAGCTAGAGCTTCAACCAGAGGAAAGACAGGATGCACGTGTGGACCACTGCTCCTCAGTGGAAATCCCTCGGGAGAAAATCACTTTGCCAGGGAGGCAGCTTCTACAGAAGAGACCTAGGATGTCCCGCACGTAAATAACACATCCTTATTATTTGTTTGATACCTCCATGGGGCCTGGCCATCTTGGTTGTGCGGCCTGGGCATCGGGAGCAGGGGGAGGTGATGCACAGCCCTGGGTGGGGGGTTGCTTGCAGAGACGCCATAGCAGTCTCCAGATGTTGAATCCTGCTCCTGGCTTCCAGCCAGGCCCAGGGGAGTATAAATATTTAAGCGGAGTAGCCGAGGCCTGTCAGCTTGCATTTGTTTCTGGCAGGGTAACTGCTGGAAGAGGGGGAGGAAGGATGGGAGGAAGGGCAGGAGGGAAGATGAAGTTCTGTCCTGAGAGTAATGTTCTTGGAGAGGGAGGCACTTGCACCAGCCCGGTCCCCAACACTCAAAGGTCTCCACCTCCTCTTAGGACGCTCTTGCCTCCAGGAGCAGTTCAGGAGGGACGTTTTGGAGAATGCCAATCTGCAGCTTTCTCAGGGTGGTGCTGCAGCAGAGGACCATTTATTGAGCTATCCCCACGGGGGTGATTAAACATCCCATTAGCACCTGGAGGGGCCTCTCCAGATGCCGTGTGCTGCAGGGAGGAGGGAAGTGCATGGGGTGCAAGAGGAGGAGAGTGACTGTGAGGAACAAGGCGGGCTCAGACAGCAATGGGGAAGTCTCACCACGAGAGGCGCAAAGACTGTAAGGACGAGAGGCTACTTCTAACACAAAGCCTTGGTGGCTGCTGCCCCCTGTAACAAATGGGGGCCAGAAAGTAATCCAATCAGCTAATGGACTGTGGGGCGCACCACGGCATTAAATCAATAGAGGGGAGACAAGGAGACAGCCCTGCGCAAAACGCAGCATCTCCCCTGGGAGATCACCGCGCCGTGCCTGGAGAAACCAAGGTGGGGACAGCAGGGCACAGCACCTCATGATTTATGGGGCAGCTAGCGGTGCCATAGGGAGCTAAGGTCCTGTGGGTGCTATCAGGCTCAGATCTGGAGATCCTCCACGCTGCCTGCCAGCCTGGTGGGAAGCGGGGCAAGGGCAGAGGGAGCCCACAGCCCAAAGGCCACCGTAGATGGGCAGGTAGTAGATTCCGGCTGGGTTTGCTACTGGACACCCCTAGCTGAAAGCATGCAAAGAAGGGTGTCCTCAAGCTGACACCCTGTGCTGGGCGCATGGAGGATTTGGAGCCAACGCTTTTTTTT